CTGGCCCCACGGAGGCCCAGGGGTCCTAGGTGGTCCTAGGGAGACGGAAGCAGGCCCAAGAGGTGGCTGCGGCTTAATTTCCAGCCACCCGCACTGGGCAGCAGAATAAATCTGACTCACAGAAATCAAGGCCCGTGATGCTGGACCTCACAGTCATCGATAAAATTGACACCCACATCTACCGCGGTCGCTCCGTGGGCCTTCCTTCTGATGTTACTGAGTTGGCTTTCGACGCCCGAGAATGGTGCTTTTTTCATGCTGCATTTTTCCTTTGACACATCAAAGCAGCCTTTTGATTTCCTTTATAAGCTCTTCCTCCGTGGTTTACAAAACCTGTGATTTGGGCTGCCTAATTCCAGTCATTAACGACAAGGGTTCAGTGGGCAGGCTCACACATGCAGCTAAAGGCTTCCTTCCCAGCTGACCCCGACACGCTGGCCAGCCAGCCCTCTCCCACAGCTTGCTCGGTCTCCCAAAACTTACCTAACTAGACTGCTATCCACTCTGCATACCTCTGCTTTGTTCATAAGGATATACCATCAGACGCCTAGCAGAAAAGCAAATGCACTCTGTCTGCTGAATGTTCTCAATCTATCAGCACAGTGACTCCATCAAAAAAAATGAAAGTAGGAAAGGACAAAAGGAAGTAAGCTTAATCTGGCCTTACTGGCTCTTGGCAAAGCCATACTGACTTGAAGGGGTCCCTACTGCCCCTTCCAAGAGCTCATCAAATCTGGTCAAATTCTGCACCAAAGATCAGGAACCCCACCCCCTACTCCCACCGAAAGTCTCTGTGCTGGTCTCCTGAGGTTTATGAATTAGACTTCACACTCAGACAACAGGACAAGAAGTAGGAGGAAAGCAAAGAAAAACTGGAAGCCAGACCACTGATAAAAATATCCTTTTTTTAATTTTTAATTTTCTTTTAATTAACCAGTCTAAAGAAAACCTTCATTGAATCAGGGGATGTATTACAAATTATAGTGACCTGAATATAAAACCTGGCACCAAATTTGGCCTTTTAGAAAGATCTATATATAAAAATACGCATTAAAACCTGCACTGGAACACAGCACAGAGGTTAACCGGCACCCCCAAGGGGAGTGCTTACCAAGGTGGCCTGGCCTGTGGACGCAGGGGGCTCCTGGTCCTACGACCTCAGGGGTGGGCTTTAAGTGACAATGGCCTGCTCTGAAGAGGAGCCCAAGAAGCTTGTCTTTGAAGGCAGGACTCCTGTGAGCACCAAAATGCCACCAGCCTGCCATAAAACCAAAGTGGTGCTGGGGACAAAGGCAGGAGAGGGGCTATCCTCCTTTCCCTAAAGGGCTCTGACCACGATTTGAGGCTTCTGGAACTCTGCAGGCAAACCACCTTTAACTTAGGAGGAACTCTTGCAATTTCCAAATACGTTTTTCTCAAGTAAGCTGCCCAATTCTAACTCAAGGAGCCAAATCATAATTGGCCTGATTTTAAGGATTAAGACCTAGCTCTCATGTCATTTTCTGCAGGCCAAGACCCTGAAATACCTACCAAAATGGCCATCACCAGAGCAGAAAAGCATAATGACAATGCCCTCACCCTATTCAGTCTTGGACTCAATGCAACTAAACGATTCTAGCCCGGAAGTCATACTGCCCAGGCAATGAAATGAAAAGCAGCTTTGATCAACGTTGGAATCCTGTCCCCCAGGTGCAAACTATCTCTGCACAAGGCGACTGAAGCCTTGGGGAGGAAGAGGGTCATTATTGCACATCTGCCTTCAAGGAAGAAGATGCAGTTCCTTCACTGGCAGGCCCGTCATTGTGGCTGAACAGGGTCAGGACCGTCTGACCACTGGCTTGTTCACTCACGGAGGAGCTGGTGTCCCTGGTCTGCTCGTCCTGTGGTTCTGCTGAAAGAGGCAACCGTCCCTGATTCGGTTGCTAAGCAGCTGCCCAAACAGCAGGGCTCCACGGGTGGGAGACACACAGGTGGGAACCTGGGAGAAGCGGAGGGCAGGCGGAGGGGAGCACGAGGAAAGGCGAAGGGGCAGGCCTTGAAGCAGCCTTGCGGGCTTTAAGCAGCCCGAAAAGACAGCTGGGCCTCTGCAACTTCAGAGCTCTGCGAGTTACTGAAAGGCCTGGGAGTCTTCTTGTTATTCCAGTGGGTTCAACAAAGGCAAGACAGCTGCCCGACCAGTTTCTGTCCAAAAGCGGAGCGGATTTTCTCAGCTGCCTCCAGGGTGGGTTTTTCCCTCCTACCCAGGCCCCGGCCTGGCTGTCTTGCTGCGGGGTGACCTGGCGCTTTCCCTCAACTGTGGCAGTAAGTGAAGTGAAGGACAAAAGTGTCTGAATCACAATTTAGGCAAAAAGCCGGGAGCCAAGCCGGGCTATTAATGAGGGGCTTTCTCTCTCTAGCAGTGGTATTTCAGGCCCGCAGTGCTCAGTGTCGGACACCTACTCCTTGTCGCTGGGGACCATTACCACATCCTGCCAAACCAAGACAAGAGGGGACACTTCGCTCCATTACTATGGCTCTTTTAGGACAGAAGCCCAAGCCCAGTGGCTCCTTCACAGCCTTAGGGCACCTGCGTCCACTTAAAAATGACCTGACAACACCCTCTAGTGGAAATTATAAATAAAACAAGGGTTATGCATCCAACTTACCTTCATCTGATAGCAAAGTAGTTTCAAGAGTCCCCATAAAACAGAATAAAACAACAAAAACAAAACATTCTCAGAACATGATAATTAAAAAAAAAAAAGATAAGAGTTCACAAGCCGTCCGTAGGCCCCTCACTCCCAAATCACTTCCCTCCTCAGATACTCTGCCTTCAACACATTCTAAGAAAGGGGGACATGTTGTCAGGGGAGCTACCGGTCCCCCTAGAGTTTGGGCAGACTGCCTGCTGGTGCCAGAATGATGCCAAAGACGTAGAAGAGTCCCAGCAGAAGGTTGAGTTTGGCAGTCCTCTGGGGCAGTTTGTTGAAAGTCTGGCTTCGGAACTGTCTCTCAAGGGAGAAGGCCATGGGAATGGTGAGCAGGGGGAGCGCCAGGCTGATGCTGCAGTGCGTGGCCAGGATGCTGAAGATCAGGTAGGGCAGGAAGAGCAGCGTGTTGTAGAGCATGTAGGAGAAAGTGGGGCCGATGAGGATGGCGAGCGTGACGATGCCAGCCTCCCGGTCGGACTCTATATCCCTGGTGTTGTTGGAATGGAGAATGGCCTCGGTGCTAAGGGCAAGAGGGATGGCGTAGACCAGTGGGAAGACCGCCAGGGACCCCACCTGGACGGCGTAGGCGAACATCACAGCCAGCGGGCCGAAAGTGATGAGGATGACGAGGTCTCCCAGGGCCACGTACTTGAATCCAATTCCTACGGCCAGAAAACCCAGAGAGTCTGTGTGAGATCAAGGGCTGGGAACTGAGGGACTGTCCTTTAGTCAAAAGGCAGGG